CTTCCTATAATGTGAGAATACTCAAGTTGTGATATGTTAGGACCAGTATTTTTCGATAAATAAATATTTACATCAACATGAGTGTTTATTAAACTACTGTCTTCTTTATTAAATTTTTCTAATATTTTCTCAATATAGTGAGATTGAGATAATACTAGACCATCTGATGTTCTAGAAATCTTGATCCCTAGTATGACATCAGCTATGTCTAAATCTTTCGTATCGAAATTTTTGCTCAACATCTTTTTAGAAGTTTTGATTATAACATCATTACTATCCATTATTAGTATATCATCTACATATAGGCAAACGATGACATATCCATTTTGAGTGTTTTTCACATAAACACATTAATCACACTCATTAATTCTAAAACCATTTGACAACATCACTTTGTCAAATTTTTCATGCCATTGTTTAGGAGCTTGTTTTAATCCATATAAAGATTTTACAAGTTTGCACACATTCTTTTCTTTTCCTGGAACAAGAAAACCTTCAGGTTGTTCCATATAGATTTCCTCCTCTAATTCACCATTCAAGAATGCAGTCATAACATCCATTTGATGTATTTCTAAATTTTACAATGCCGCAATAGGTAGTAACAATCTAATGGATGTTATTCTTGTGACTGGTGAATATGTATCAAAATAATCCAAGCCTTCTTCTTGTCTGTATCCCTTAGTAACAAGCCTAACTTTTTATTTATCTATTGAACCATCAAGCTTCATCTTTCTCTTGAAAATCCACTTATACCCTAAAATTTTAGTACCAGAAGGAAGATCCACTAACTCCCAAGTATGATTTTGCATGATGGATTCAATCTCACTATTTATGACTTCTTTCCATAAAGGAACTTCAGGAGAAGACATAACTTCCTTATACCTTTGTAACTCATTTTCTAATATATATGTCAGAAAATCAGGATCAAATGACTTAGATGTTCTAGCTCTTTTGCTACGTCTAGGTTCTTCCTTATTTTTATCATCTATAGACTCTTGGTCTATATTCTTTTGTATATTGTTATTAGCAATATCATGATTTCTTTTAAGAGGATTTTTACAAGGAAATATATCCTCAAATAAACAAGCATTACTTGACTCAATAATTGTATTGACATAGATGTCAGGAATGCTTGATATATACACAAGGAAACGATATGCACTACTATTCTGTGCATAGCCTATGAAAATATCATCAAATGTTTTTGGTCCTATCTTAACTTTCTTAAGAGTAGGAACCGCAACCTTAGCTAGACACCCCCACACTTTTAAGAATTTATAGGAAGATTTTTGACCTTTCTATAATTCATAAGGTTTCATATTTTTTTCTTTTGAAGTATTTTGTTGAGAACATAATTAGTAGAAAGCAAAGCTTCCCCCCACAAATTCTGGGTTAAACCAGAACTTATCAACATAGAATTCATCATTTCTTTTAAGGTACGGTTTTTGCGTTCAGCAACACCGTTCTGTTGAGGTGAATAAGGAGCGGTAGTTTGGTGAATAATACCATATTCTGAGCAAATGTCAGCGAATGATGTTTCGTATTCACCACCTCTATAACTTCTAAACACTTTTATCTTCTTGCCAAGTTGATTCTTAACCTCATTCTTGTAATGTTTAAACATTTCCAAGGCTTCATCTTTGCTTCTTAACAAGTATATAAAACAGTATCTTGTGCAATCATCAATAAAAGTAATGAAATACTTTTTCTCACCTCTGGTTGGCACAGATTTAAAGTCATAGATATCACTGTGAATTAATGCTAGAATTTCAGTACTTCGCTTTTATAGAATGTTGTCCAATCCATTGAGGATATAGTTCTTACATAGGAAGTCTCTATGTTTCCATGCTTCCATGCATCAACAGCTCCTAATTTTGTAATGTCAGTTTCTCCCTCTTCTAGCACTGGAGCAATTTTAGCTAGGTACTTGCTCAGATTTAAAGTTGTAAGGTAGAACATCATTTTCTGTTGACACCTTTTAAACTCCGGCCCATTAAATTTTTAGAACATTAGGCATAGTAGTATTTGTACTTGCCATTCGTCTGATATTTATTAAATATACAGACTACAGTCAAATTCACAAAATAAAATAACAACAATATTTAAATAATTAAACTATAATATAAGCAGATTCTGTCTTAAGATTGTAGTCCAAAAATATGGTTTAATTATACCATACACTATAGTATTACTATTTAAATATTATGCATAAATATAATGTATATATATATAAATATAATTATTATAAAATAATAATTTATATATATAATATCTTATAAAATAAAATAAAACAAAATAAAAGAACCTCAAGACAGAACAACTTTTACTTCCTTCGATAGTAGGACTGCAAACCAAAGGAATAGGTGAACCAGCTTGGTGTAGTACTCTTCGACTCAAACTCGGACTCGGACTCGGAGTGACTGACTAAACTTGGACTATGAGTAACTGATTAAGGCTCGAACCCAAAGACAAGGGTTCGTACCCACAGACACTTATAGAGAAGAGGAATGAGAGAATTCAGGATTAGAGAAAAGGATTCTGAATTGGAGTGTTTGGAATGCACCCAAAGGGGAGTTTATATAGGCTTCATGGTGCCTTTAGGTTTTAATATTTTTCCGATGTGCCTAATGTTACAAACCCATTTAGGCTTATCAAACACCTTATTTTGGAGTTAATTTTTCATTCACCCGGAAACGGATTCGAAAAAGTAAATAATTTACGATCATTTCCTTGCGGAGAGGAACGCGCTCGTCTATAGATCCACAAATAATTCTTAGCATAATCTATTCAAAATCTCATCCAAAGTTTATGTTTTTAATACTCAGTTTTCAACACATAATTCAATACTGATGAATTTTAGTAATTTTTATTAATTTTTTAAGATCATTTAATATGAGAAATAACTCATCCATGAATTATTTAAGGGACATTTTCTTTTGTTTTTATTTATTTATCTTTTGTTTTTGTTTTTTCTTCTATATTTATCTTTTGTTTACAAGGTCCAAAAGACTCGGACAAATGGTGTGAGTAAAGAATTATCTCCATTCTCATCGGTTTAATCGCCTCCGCTCCTCCTCAAATTCTCTCACCTAGTTGGTGTAGGTTCCCACAATTTCAATAGAATTTGATCTTCAGACGAATCGATCTACGATGGGAGATCACGGAGAGCAAGTGAGCAACAAACAAGTGATATTGAGGGACTACGTGGTGGCTGGTATCCCCAAAGAGTCGGACATGTCGGTGACTACCGGTACCATTCGTCTCAAGGTTCCACAAGGTTCTGATGCGATTTTGGTGAAGAATCTCTACTTGTCCTGCGATCCATACATGCGATCACGCATGAAGAAATTGGAAGGAAGCTACATTGAGTCCTTCAAACCTGGTTCGGTGAGTGTATCAGTCACAATTAACAATATATATATATATATATATATATATATTATTGAATGGGATATTTTATAAAAATAATCAGAAAGTGTATATATATATATATATATTATTGAATGGGATATTTTATAAAAATAATCAGAAAGTACGATTACAATAGGAGTATAAACTCCAATACATGTCAAGAAGTGGACTAAATCCACTTTCCACCAAAACAACTTATCCTTAGAACAAATTAAGCATAACCATAGCAAGAAAAAACCTACAGAACAGATATTCAAATTGAAATCCAAACTGCCCTGCTCCACATGAACCTTCTGGACTTGAAAACCAAGAGAAAGCAATACAAAACCTGCTTCCCCAAACCACAGCAATTCTGTCAACAAGCAATACACAAACCACACAAACTGTCCTCGGCAACCAAAATCTGCTGTCCAACGAGAGAAATCAAACCTGCTATTTGAAACCCTCATAGAATCCCAAACCAGAGAATCCACCTGCTTCTCCACAACTGTGCAATTCTGTGAACAAAATCACAAAAATCTGCAATTTTGTGAACAAAACCACAAGCCTTGAATATCCCCAGCAAAAACTGAACCTGGAAGTTACCATCCTTTCCCTCAAGAGACACCACAAAGATTTCAATCAGATCAAAGGTAACCTTCACTTCCAAGCAAGATGTTAATCTCCAAAAATAATCAAAAAAATCAGCAAAACTAATATTCAGGTATGTGATTACATCCCAAACAACAGCCTGCACCACCTGATTAGTTTGATCTTGGATCCCACTGTGTAACACAGTGTTTCTTACAGACCAAATCTTCCAAATTGTCACTACAAAGAGTCCACTTAAATGCTGGACGTAGTAGATTTTATAACAGTATGCTGATTAAACCAATCCACCACCTGATTCAGAGACAATCACCCATTCACTGTTAACCACCATCCATAAGCAAGTGTGACTTTTCACGCTTCTCGTCGCTCTTTGGCTAAATTGGGTATTCTGAAAAGGAACGGACTGTTCGTTTCCTTTCTCACGTCCGTAGGAAACAACAAAGTAGGAATGTTTGTTGGAGGGTTTTGATTGATTGGGCTACATGGCCGAGGATCATCTAATGATTTCTAGTCTTCAAGGGTAGAGGACTAAACATCCCATTCCATCAAAATAGAGATCCCATACAAAGGCTGACCTATGGATGTGCGAGTACAATTAGGGAGTTTAATTTTCATAGAAGACATAGAGAGTGACTAAAATTAATATGAGATGAAATCATTAAAAGTATAATAGGTGAGTTGGCTTGTATTAGAAAAGAATAGTAAAAGATAATTCACGTGGTTGACCCATTCATTTGAGATATATATATATATTAATATGAGATGAAATCATTAAAAGTATAATAGGTGAGTTGGCTTGTATTAGAAAAGAATAGTAAAAGATAATCATTAAAAGTATAATAGGTGAGTTGGGTTGTATTAGAAAAGAATAGTAAAAGATAATTCATGTGGTTGACCCATTCATTTGAGATATATATATATATATATATATATATATATGTAAATGGTAGGGTTCGGAAAGTGAGAGGGATGGCTTGCACTTGACTGGTAGGGGAAGATGAGCTGAAAGGAATGAGATGGGAGAGAGAGAGAGCAGAAATGAAATAGAAAGGGAATAGAGCCTTTTGGTTTTTATAGGGTTTGACGCGCACCTTTGACCGTTGTCATCCTACGTCGCACGGCATGAGCACGTCACCCCATGTGTCTCTTCTGCTATCATTCCGATCAGGTTGCGAGCATCCCCTTTTGATGAGGATCGCGGGTTATTTGAGCCGCAGAGTGTGTCAAAGGTCCAAGAGCATCAAGCCCACGGTTCCTTAAGGTGCGACTCATGCTCTCAATTTGACGAGCCTCTCACTCTCAATCCTCCATACCTCAATCAACCCATCTTCCCATTTGGAACCATGATGCCATATTTACTGTTATGACACCATGATTACCCGAGTTCCTTAACAGCGCGCGCACGTGGGTGACCCGCAGACCATAATGTCACGGGCCTAGAGATTTGGCGCAGCGGCACGGCCCGTGCGGCACCAAGGCGTTGCTTCAGCTCGCGCAAGCGCCCTGGTCAGCCACCACGACCTGCCCTCCCAAGGATACATGCTGACTGGTTTCGGCCTGCCATGGCCTCGTCAGGGGAACGGCTCCAGCTCCCGACCAGTTTGTGCAGGGATGGCCAACTCCCTTCTTCATAGTCAAGTCCAAGACCAGCGACAAGCACCTCGAACTGAACCGAGTCGACCTGCCTGAACTCTGAAGAGGTACCATCCTGTGCTCCTGCACGCCCCTTCCCTGGAACCATTCCCAGTCAAACTCTGCTCTTTGCCAACCAGCATGCGTGTCTTCCATCCTCCAAGCGTCTTAGGAATCGGATCGTGACATTCTCCCCCACCCAAATCCTGCGACGTCCTCGTCGCAGTGCGGCGCTTCACTACTGCGTCCACTCCCTTCCAAAGTCTGCCTCCATGCGGTATGCTCGCCTTCCCACCATCGCTTCCTTGTGCAGCTCCCTGCACTGCACTCGCCCAATGATAGGCCTCGGACCAAGGGGACGTCCACTCCTCAAGGACGTGACTCTTCTCCGTCATGCCGCCTCCGCGACATCCCGAGCAAGCAATGGCCTTCTGCCGACTTGATGCTCGCCCTTCACCATGGTTTGCATCACCCAAGGACTAAGCACGAACTTTGGTGCGCGCGGCCCTCCGGCCCTTCAATGCGCAACTTCAACGGACGCCTCTTCCTAGGGAGATGGAGGCTCTCCCCCCAACTGCATTGATTCCTCCACATCGACGCAACTTCAATGCACCGTCTTCATTCTCTGACCCCTCCCGGACCGACAAGGGGGCACCCTACCGTGCTTTACCCCAAGTCCTGCTCTGATACCATTTGTCACGGGCCTAGAGATTTGGCGCAGCGGCACGGCCCGTGCGGCACCAAGGCGTTGCTTCAGCTCGCGCAAGCGCCCTGGTCAGCCACCACGACCTGCCCTCCCAAGGATACATGCTGACTGGTTTCGGCCTGCCATGGCCTCGTCAGGGGAACGGCTCCAGCTCCCGACCAGTTTGTGCAGGGATGGCCAACTCCCTTCTTCATAGTCAAGTCCAAGACCAGCGACAAGCACCTCGAACTGAACCGAGTTGACCTGCCTGAACTCTGAAGAGGTACCATCCTGTGCTCCTGCACGCCCCTTCCCTGGAACCATTCCCAGTCAAACTCTGCTCTTTGCCAACCAGCATGCGTGTCTTCCATCCTCCAAGCGTCTTAGGAATCGGATCGTGACAATAAGGTCCCTTTTGGGTTCCATCTTTTCAAGATTAGAAGCAACGTCGTGACAAGCTACTTTCCATCTTGACTCTTGAGGAGCGGAACTAGAAAGGCCTCTCCTGATCCATGCTGCAGGAGGTAACACTAGGTCACGAGCTATAGCATAGGTGATTTGCCTTGAGTGCCATTCAACCTATATGGTTGATCAGGTAAAGCTATTCTCAACTTATCGCCTCGTTATAGCTGCATGATCGGAGCCTAGATTTCTAAAGGAAAATCTTGGAAAAGCCTTAAGAAACTGTTAAAAATCTGATAATAACTCAAAATATATTGATAAAGACTTGGTTACAGTGGATATGTGATGACCAAGTTTTAATTTTTATTTTTTTTTTCCTTTTATATTTATTTTTAATTGCATTTTGTTATGTTGTGGGGCCTAAGTTGACTAGTTGATGAGATATGTATGGATAAGAATGTGTGTGACATGTGTATGTGTGTGTATAGAGAGAGAGAGTGTAAAATAGGCCAAAATCCTCTCATTTCTCCCACTCCACCGACACTCTCTCTTCTCTCTCCCATTCTTTTCTTTTTCATTTTACTTCAACCATTTCTCCACTATTTCACCTCCAACCTTTGAGATTTTGAGCTTGCCATAGAAGGAAAGTTGACGGGGACTACGAGAGGAACAAAACCCCTCAATCAATTTCGGATTTGGAGCACATTTTTCCTTTGGAGTAGCTAGGGTTTACTCTTTGCGTGAGGTAGGGGTGTATTATGCTTATAACCTAGGAGTTCTTGAAATTTTATGACCATTGTGTGAGTTATACATGCACTTGTGTGTGTGGGTTGGATTAGAGAGCTTATATAATGATTAATTGCATGTCCATAATGTTTTATTGAGTTCTTATGTTAATTTTCATATGTAACATATTATTTGTTTCATTTTTTTATATTATTGATGTTTATTAAAATGTTAGATTTTAGTATGTACAATTACTTGTAATTAAAGTGTTTTATATGTTGTGGTTGTTCATGGAATTATCATGTATTTGTTATCTTGTAAGGGTTAACTTTGAAGATGTACATTTCTATAATGACATTTCTACAAAAAAAAAGATGTACATTTCTTACTTATCAAAAAAAAAAAAAGATATACATTTCTATAATGACATTGAACTTTTACATACTTGAAATTTGATATAATAACAACATGAAATCACATGACTTTAAAATACCCAATTTGTTGACATTGCGTCAAAGAGTATGCCATTATAGTGATTTAGACCATAGGACATGGATTGTGTGATTAGTATAATTTATGTGCGCATGTGAAGTGCAATTTGGGCATATCATTGTATATAGATTATTTTGTGGACTTGTTTGTTGATTTTGGGAGATAGTCGGTGGTTGTTACTTTGAAAATGCGAGGGCTTGGCGCTCGCGGGTGAAACATGAGTTTCCCCACTTTATATTGGCCAATTGGTTAGTTTCCGGTGGACTAGTAATCCGAGAATGACTATTTTTATTTAAGCGCATAGCATGGCTATGTGACCGAGTTATACCATTATTTGATTTCGACTTTTATTTTCAAGTTAGCATTTATCTGTTATTGCAACTTGTGGATTTATGTACATTACACTATATTGTTTATGCTTTGTCTTGATGAATGGATTAATATTATTTATGCTAGACTAAGATGATCCTATTTAGGTTTCCCTTGAGACTAGACGTTAGGAAGTATGTTCCTTGTATTGTATGACCATGCCATATTTGTAGAATTTTGAGAAACCTATTTTATATTCATGAGACATTCCCACGGAACAATTCGTTGCTCACCCCATTGATTCTTATATTTTTCAGAAAAGGGCATTGCCCAAGAGGAGGTTCCTCATCCCTAGCTTGATTAGGGCCAAGACAACATTTTTGAGCTATTTGTGATAATTGTGACATCCATTGTGTAGCTTACTTTTGGACTTGTATTTTGACACATGGTGTATTTTGGATATTATAATTGATGACATGCTTGTAATATTCTTTTAGAGGAGGGAAATGACTTAGGAACTCACCCATCTATCTATTGGAGTTCTTATGGAATTTCTTCCCTTATCTTTACTCATGTAATCTCATAACATTGATCCTCATTTCTCACTTTATGGAATGTAATGAGGCCATGGTGGCCATGACTTAAGTGGTGGGATTGAACAATTATTGTTTAAGTTGTGCATATGTGGGTTCATTTGGATAGTCTAATACAAATGGTTAATTAATCATGCTATTATTTATTTTTATGAAACTATTATTATTATTATTATTATTATATGAAACCAAGATCAGTGTATATTGTGTGATTATGTATATACAAGTTAGATTCACATTATTAATGAATCTATGAAATGATTAGGTGACCTTATGATGACATACTTGATTTACTGACATTGTATGTAAACTGATATTGGCTCATTCCATGCGAAGTTTATTTATTACTGGGCATGCTGTTAACTTTAGTGCCAAATATAGGACTTGATGACCAGGTATTATCTGGGCAACCAAAGTAGTAGCTTTAGATAAAAAAGATTCTGGCATTTACATTGTGTTGTCGCCCAGGTTGATGAAATTGTCCACCATGTGTTTTTATTTATTATTATTTTTTTCTGCAAATTAATCCCCACTGTTTTGCCAACTTTCAAATATTATTTTCTTTAAAAATTATTATTAGTATTATTATTATTATTATTATTGTTTATGTGGTGAATGACACCGGTTTTCTCCAATTAATTATTTATATACTCAAGTGAATCTATTTATTTATTTATTTATTTTTATATATTTATTTTCCTTTTCTTTGCGACCCGAGTCATGGGATTCGGGGCGTGACAGGATATAGAGGGTTGTCCCTTTTATAATACTACTATTAATGACCCTTGACTTTTCCTAGAATGACTCTTAGAATTCCCAGACAACATTAATAAGACTTTACCACTTTCCTAAGTAATTCCAAAGCTTAGTGAAACAAGAATGACTCTTTGACTTTTCTTCAAGGCAATTCCCAAGGCACCATTGACTGCCTAGATCTTGACTAAAGTACCCTTAGTCATTTGCATCAGTTTGGATCTCTGTGGATTTAATTCCAAAATTTCCTGGAAATTTGGTGTGAGATAGATTATCCATAATTAATGATGGTTGGTGGGCTAGGTACATACAGCTTGGCTTGGCACTGATGTTGATGGTTGGATGGCGAACTTGCGTGGTGGTTTTGGAATTATTGTGGCCATGTAGATACCATTATTGGAATTGGAGGGTCAAGGTACTTGGTGATTTTGGAATTCTGGTGGCCCTCCAGATCGATTCGATCCTTTCTTTAACGACATACTATGCCCCTTATGAAGCTGTTTTTGGGATCATTGCAGACCTGCTACTGATGCGTACTAGGGTATAATGTCTTGACTTCAAATGTATCAGTATCTAATATTTGGTTCTTTTGGGCCTAGCTTGGAGAAATAAATAAATTATCTTATTTTTGGCATGACAGGAGTCTTCGTGAAACCAGTAGAAACATTAGGCTGTAGTAATATTTGTGCTTGTTTATGATTTATATTCATCTATCACATCTAGCAGATTTAGACTTGTTTGATGACTGTGAATTAGTGTGTTTTAGTAACATGCTGTTTCAGAGGACTCTTGGTTGAACTTTCTAAACTGATCTAGTCAACATTCAACAATCTTAATGCTTAAAATTATTTCATAATAGCTGTTAAGAAGTCAAAATTACATAAATTGTTGAAAATTTGAGAAGTATACAATTTTGTGACAAAGTTCTCATATTACTATGTGTTGGGAATTGTGTATCAAATTCCTTTTTTAACTAGGTTTCTATTTTAGAGTTGTATTTTATTAGGCAATTTCTTGTTAGACAAGTATTGGTCTCTAAGGAATTGTAATCTTTGTCCAGCAAAGAATTGGGTTTGGAACTCTATAAATAGGTACCCAAGTTATGGGTTGAGACTTGTGAGATTGAGACAGATGTAGTCTCATGCGGAAGTTGATTAGGTAGAGATGGTTTATTGGTTGGTAGAGTAGGAAAAACACCGGTGGCATTGGTCGTGAGAAGACAGGTTTGTGGAGTGGTATTCACACCCATTCCATCCCCTCTCTCTCATCTCTTTGCTGATCTGACTCCTTATCTCAGCTCCTCGAAGTCTCTCCCTCTCTCTCTCGTCCTCATCATCATCTCTCTAATATGTCTCGATCGCTCTCTCTTCTTATTCGGATCGTGTGAGACAAGCCAAAGAATGGTTGCTATAACGATCCGAGATTGTCGAAGACAAATCTGATCGGTGGCCGGCAACCTTTTGCCCCTCTATTGAGTTTTGTATGTATATTTATATACAAATTCCTCTATAACATTTAGATTTATTCTGTGAACTAGCCCGAGCTGAGCTTGAGCTCATCTGAGCACCAACCAGCCGATCTCGAACATCTCTATGACTAAGGTGACCTGAGCCGATCTCAAACACCTTTGTGACTAAGGCGACCTGAGTCGGAACAACCTAAAGCTCGGCTCAGTTCATTTGCAGCTCTTGGAGTGGTGCATGGTGAAAAGACATGTATGCGGTGTTGGTACTCTACTCTTGTTGGGCATCTAAGAAATTTATTAATAAAAGAGGATCAGGAACTTCTTCTTTTTCTTTTCTTGAGCATGGTGAGTAGAGGGGTATTAATGGGCATCTTTATAGCTTTACTAGCACAGATTTCACTGAAATAGCCAACCTTTCTGTGTTCTCCTCATACTTCTGTTTTTCCAACTTTGACTTTTAAACTAATGTGAAAATTTATCATTCCAAATTCAACCTTTCTTTTACTTGAATGCCCTTTCTGAATCCAAATCAGCTACTTCAAGCCACTAACTGGCAAAAGATAAGACCATTGGGTATTAAAGGAAAAATTAATAGAATATTTTAGACATTTGACTCAACTCACATGTCCGAATTTTATTTTACTTGATTTCTGATAATCTTTTTGAGAAATCACAAGCTTGCTTTAGTGATATTTTCAGTTAATGTCATGCAGCCTATAACTGGATATGGAGTCGCTAAAGTTTTGGATTCTGGCCACCCGAACTTCAAGAAAGGTGACTTGATTTGGGGAAAAACTGGATGGGAAGAGTATAGTCTCATTACATCTAACGATATTCTGTTTAAAATTCAACATACAGAGGTGCCTCTTTCCTACTACACTGGAATCCTTGGTAAGTTTGTTTAATTTGCTCATTTCAATCCCTGGAAACTGCCATATGTAATTCTCTTTTTGTTTTATTCTCTACTTTTTCTTTTTCTTCTTCTTTTTATTATTTATTTTTATTTTGCGTGGAGGGGATTGTTAATAGATGAAAGCATAACTGGAGTGTTGTAATTTTTAACACAATTACCAAGTGGTAAATGGAGTATAACTATGTGCAAAATAACCTCTTATTAAAGAGGAAAACATGCATGGTGGGTGCAAAGAAGCTTTCGCTCCTTCACGTTTATCATCCAAGTGATATTCGAAGTATGGTTCGCTTAGCCAATTTAGCGGGATCTTGTTCTCGAGGAATGGGCCAGACCAGGTCATTTCTAGGTTAATTTGCTCCTTCGCTTTTATCATCCATTGAATTAGCACTTCAATAAGTAAGAAGCAAGGAAGGAAAAAGAGAGCAGTGAGGCTTATTTTCTAAAACACTCTCTCTCTCTTTTTTTTTTAAATTTTAAAATTACCTCTTCTTGTACGCTCAACAAAATGATGCAATCCTTAACAAGCATAATAATAATAAAATAAATAAAAAGGGTGAATTACTCTTAACTAACGTTGAAATTTTTCTTTATTTATTACCTATTGCTTAGACATTTTGAAATATAACTCTGACACCTTTGTTAGAGTTGAGTAGTTGCCTTTGTTAACGGTGGAAGTGATTTTACAACTGTACCCGTTTTTATTACAAGTAAAGCATGACACATGGAAAGACAATTTTGCCCTTGATATATCTCACCAAATCTTCCTCAAGAGTAGACCTTGTTGCCACCTGGATTAATGTATATATTATATGCATTTTACATATTATGATGTATACATTACATGGAAAATTATTTTTACACCACCAATATATCCTCTGTGTTTTGGTTGCTCGAGATTTTTAATCTTCGAATCGTTGTGATCAATTGCATGTATACACACAACATACACATGCCCTCTGAGTTTTGGTTGCCGATCGAGCATTTTTTTTTCAGGGATTTGAGAGCAAAGAGGAGGGTAGAGAGAGTGAGGGTCTATAAATACATCATACACACACACACATATATACAATCAATCACTCTCCTCTTCATATATATACATACAACATATATAGTAAGTAACACTCAATCATTCTTCTTTTTATCCATATCCATCGGACCATCACCCAGTGCTTTGAGATCCCTTACATTCATCTCTTGCACAGTCCTCTGAGTTTCACCCTCATGACTCCCCTCGAAGTTCTACAATTACTTGTTTTAACCTCCACTGACACCTCTAAACCCTACTCTAATTGAACACTCTCAGATTCAGAGCTTCATTGTTCATCCTCTAAAGCCGTAGATTTTGTCACAATGGCAAGATCGAAGACACTATCGTGAGACCTTGTGCAAAGAACGGAAGTCAAAATCGGAAGAATATACTCTGTTGTTATATGTGAATGACAACAAAGAGTGGTGGAGAGAGAGGTGGTGGTGGGGAGGGGGATAGTGGTGGTGGAGGGAGAGGTGGTAGTGGAGAGAGAAATAGTGAGTATTGGAAGTCTGTAACCTAATACATATGCTTATCTATGTAATATGTATATAATATATACATTGATGTTAAATGGGTAATAATTGTATAAAATTTGTGATTAATTTCAATTATATGCTAATATATTGATAAATATTTAGGAGTAATTTTAATATAATGGGTCAAACTATAATTTTATAAAAAATATTGTATTTGCTGAATTTTTAGAAGGAATACTAATATGGTTAATATGATTATTGTTCACATTATAATTTGAATATATATTGTGTTGAAAGAGAGAGAGACAGAGAGAGAGAATATATGAAAATGTATATATTATTGAGTGAGTAATACAATAATACAATGGTATTTATTGAGGAGAAGCTACAGGAGTAGGTGAGTGGAGAACAAGTAAACCCTATACATGGTGATGATATATATGGTAATGAGGGGTAGGTGAAGGCGGCTACAGAATACAGAAAACCCTAGTATACAATTTAATCTTACTGTACACGTTTGACAGCTCATACAATACTGTACAACATATTTCATATGATAATAAGTTTAATAATTGATTAATATTTATATTATGGTTTTTAGTTGCACATGAGGGCATTTATGGCATTAATTGATTAATATTTATGTGTAAGGTTAAAATTGTACTTAGAAAAAAATAAGGCTTATTTAGTCGTTTGGCAATATGAAGGGTAGTTTTGGCAATTTAATTTTTCAAATTACCTGACTTCAGTCAACTAAGGCAGGAAAGGTCGGGGTAAGGTCAACCAAACCTTAGGGGAGATTGACCAACTTTTTCCACAAGTTTAAGCCTTAAAGTAAGTGTGCGTACAAGAATTCTCTCTTCTTTTATAATAGAAAGTTTTATCATACAATTCTCTCTTCTTTTATAATAGAAGTTTTCTCATACAATGAACACTCTTCTCCTCCTTTCTGCACTTTCTATATTTATACATCCTATTTCTTGCCTTAATTTTTCTTTCTTGTCTACCACGCTTGGGAATCTTGGGCCTCCACTCTCCTGGGCTGGCTCAAGTCGCCTTTTTATGGTCGTTTGTAGGCTTTGGATGCCCTGTTCGGGTTGACCCGCCCTTGGTTTGGATCTCTTTCTGTGACTCGTGTCGCTTCTTGGGTGGTACAGTTGTCAATGTCTTATAAGAGCCCATTTCTGCCTCTTCGATAATAAACCCAAACCTCAGATGTTGTTAGAGTAATTCAACCCCCCCACCCCCCAACCAAAAAAAAAAAAAAAACACACTTAAAGGTGGGACAATTATTCCAATTGACTAGTTTTAAAGACATGACTCACTAGGTATTTCTTAGGGTCAAAATTTTGACTTTCAGACTGTTAGGTCTAAGTCAATTGACACTGGTTTAATTTTATTTGTCATTTTAAGTTTTTGGAGTTAAAAGTATTATGTAATTTACAGAATTCGTTTCAGCAGGCTTGGTAGGTCAATTTTGATCATGTCATTAAGATTTTAATGCATATGATGCTAACAAGACAGGCCACATCAAGAATTTCACATGGAGCAAATTTTGGACCTCATGCGATAAAGTTTTTCAGTTATATTTGGGTCTTTATTTATGTTATTTAAGTTGGTAGGATAGTAGTTGGGTTTATCATTATCTAATTAGTTCTTGAAGTTGAGTAATTTGGTAATTTTGAGATTTGATGGAATTGCACTATAGTAGTTGTACATGGGTCTTATTCTGGATCAAGTCAAGTCATTGAATCTTTATATGGAGTTTTTTTTGTTGTTCTAGAGTAATTGTAGTGGTTAAGTTTTCCTGTTTCTTAATGCATGTTTGTAGTAAGAGTGTGAAAATTTTAGCTGCCTTTAGATATACTCTTTACAATTCACCAGAATTGATGAGAATTTGAGATTGTGTATGTGGATGCAGCTTTACCTTTGGAAGGGGTGAAGCTAGAGAGACTCTAGATAAGATTCCTAGATCTTCTATTCTTCTCTTCTTTTTAATTTCCTTTGTTTAGTTTTATTCTCGATTACCGTTTATAAACCTAGCATCTACTCTTTGCCCCTAGTTTGGCTCAAAATACTTGTTGCATGGAGTTTCCAGCACCCTTCCTAAAAAATTTGCAATATAGTACTCCAGAAACCAATTAAACTTCAATCCTATTTTTGTTTCCAAACCTAATACCTTTCTTCCACCCTTTGAAATATGTGCCACCATAATATCGGTCCTAGAAGACTACAATTACTTTACAGCACTGCTGTATATAAACTTTGCTGTCATAATCTGTAGGAGAGTTTTTATTCAGACTTGTTTTTTCATCGGCAAATTGGTTTTGTGGGGCTCGGAAAGATTTAAATGCCTTTCGTTTCTCATTCCTTCCCCCTCCCTTCTTATCAAAGAAGTGTGTCTCCATTTCTTCCCTTTCCCTCTGCACCTTTCCCTCCCTCGGTGCTATGTCCTACAAAACAGAACATACGTCCTCAAGAATGTTGAGGATCATCTTCAATGGGATCTACCTATTCACCTCCAGTCTGCATTCCTATATCTGCCAGCCCAATTTTTCCTTTTAACCATTGTTCATGCAAGTCCTGTGTACCACTTCTCTTTAGGCATTTTTCATAAGGCTATCAGGCAGTTCTCTGAAAGCAAGATAAATTATTGACCTTAGATCAGTTAGCTAGTCTGATTTTATGGTCAAGTCAAATCATTGCTTCATTTACTGTTTGGGTCTTGCCATTATATCTCACTTGGATGGATAATGAGGTCTCTTTTTTGAGATTCTGCATAGTCATACCATTTCTGTTAATAGTAGTTCAAACTATCATCAAAGCTAGGGGAGAAAAAATCAAACCATGAAAGATCATATATTCAGTAAGTTCCAAAAATTTCCGTTATCTAGGTTTCTTTGAGATGATGTTCGATGCTCCTCCCCCCTTCTGCAAGGTCTGATGCTCTTCATCTGGTTGCTTTGCATATCTGCTTTGTAGGTATGCCTGGTATGACTGCTTATGCTGGTTTTTATGAAGTGTGTTCCCCTAAAAAAGGAGAGTACGTCTTCATTTCAGCTGCATCTGGAGCAGTTGGTCAGCTTGTTGGGCAGTTTGCTAAGTTGTTAGGCTGCTATGTTGTTGGAAGTGCTGGAACTAAAGAAAAGGTAGTGGTTTTAACATGGTCATTAGTTCAATTGATTTCAAAATTGCCGCTTAGCTGCTGAATTGAATGTTGTAATTGCTCAATCTATATTCACTTTGATGGTATGCTATTCTTTTCGTTTTTTCTAAAAAAAATCCCAGTCACATTCTGCCAACCATGTTGATTTCAAACACTGCTAATGGTGCCGCTGTTTGCTCAGTTGTCCACCTTAAACACTTGTTTTTCTTGAACATAACTATTGGAAGCATAGTGGTGAGCTGAATCCTGATATTCCACGAGTGTGCACATGCATAAATATTATATGTTATCTGTCATGCTGGTTGCCAACTGCAAATGTATTATTTTTCTGAACAACTATGCTAGGTGGACCAGAATCAATATCATAATTAACTAACTTCTCCATTTCTGTTTGCTTTTGTTTCTTTTACAATTGCTCCTACATAAGGTTGATCTGTTGAAGAACAAATTTGGATTTGATGAGGCTTTCAACTACAAAGAAGAGCAAAACCTTGATGTGACTTTGAAAAGGTCAGTTTTCATTTTAATTTTCAAGAAACCTGTAATAGCACAATGAAGTTTTAGTCCTGATTTCATCCCTGGATAAAATGGCCATTATTTGGAAAAAAAATTCAAGAGGATGTGCCCTGTAAGCTGTTACATAAAGCACAGAATCTGATAGATGACTCTAGTGTACCTGTATCAAAATATCGGTGGCCCCGTAATGTGGCTTAATTGGCATTTTTACACTTGTTCTGAGTGCTATTTTACTTGCCTTGTTAACAAAAGCCATTTTACATAGAAAGCCGCATATGTGGGATTGTTTTTTTTCTTTCTTGGTTTTTCTGAGAAAGCCGTGTTTGATATCTACGTGTACTTACTAATTTGTTTGCCAGATACTTCCCTGATGGCATCGATATATACTTTGAGAATGTTGGGGGAAATATGCTTGATGCAGTACTCCTCAACATGAGACTCCATGGTCGCATTGCTGTGTGTGGAATGATCTCACAGTACAGCCTTGAGCAACCTGAAGGCGTACACAACTTGTCCTGTCTCATCACAAAACGACTCCGTATGGAAGGATTCCTGGTTATTGAATACTACCACCTCTATCCAAAGTTTCTGGACATGGTTCTATCTTCCATAAAAGAAGGAAGGATTGTATACGTGGAAGACATAGCTGAAGGACTAGAGAGTGCTCCAGCAGCTCTTGTTGGGCTCTTCTCTGGCCACAATGTTGGTAAACAGGTGGTAGTTGTTGCTCGGGAATGATGAACGTTATGTTATTTACTTCTTTCATGGTACTCTTTTGCCATAGAAGGCGAGCAAATTTAAAGATAAGCTCGACGGCTAATCAATAAAAGTTTTGAAGGGGGAATCTTATATTTCAATGAATATGCACTTGTTTTGTAATATTTACATGCACTTTTTTTGTCCTTAATGCGGATTGTGATCTAATATGGTTATGCGACGGAGGTTATAGGGTCCTGGTGTCTTCTTGTGCTACTATTAAAACAATGGGGAAGAACTGACGATGGGTTGACTAAGTAATGTTGAAAGTATTTAAGTGGAATTGCTTTTCTTGGGATAAGAGATCCCAATATTTCTTACCAAAATTAGATGGACCGAGATCCTTGGGGAAGGAAAAGGCATTCATAGATTAGTGTCCCGTTAATTTTCTTAGCATTGCAAGCTTCTCCTAGGCTATTGTTATTCTGTGTTTTAGAGAAAGAGAGTCAATATACACAAATTCGTATATATATGGGGAGTGTTCCGCCTAGACTGAAGCACACGCGAGAATCTCGGCTTGGGTAACGCAAACATTGGTATTTCTTTTCTTCTATATAATTTTCTTCATTTTCAAGCATTTTTAACTTCGAATTTTCTTGATACCCATCCAGATAAGAAGTGGACAGCCTCTTTAGCCAATTCTTTCCACCTGATAGCATTCTTTCTAAGCTGATTCCCTCTCTCCCTCCGTGGCTTGTGTGATAATCTCATCTCTGCTGACAAGTCCCTTTTCATTGTCGACCCTGACCCTTACCCCTGCTTTCCCCATATTTCCACAATATATTTTGCATTAGTTGTTTGATCCGTCCATGGCATCGCCACCAACGGCACTCCCAAGCTCAAGGCCTCAAGTGTTGAGTTCCATCCACAGTGAGTTTTGAAACACCCCACCGCCTGATGAGCCAGAATTTCTAATTGAGGACATCAATTCACAACCGGACGTTTCTCCTCCAATGCCATTGTCTTCATGAAATTGGTTGGAAGCTTACTCTCTTCGGAAGTTCTGACTACCCGCAAGTAGCAATTGTCATTAGGGACCATGCCAGTTCCTCCATTTGCAATTCCCCTAGGCTGGCCAAGCTCCCAAATGATGCATAAACAACTGACCTATTTTCCTTGCCCTCTGGCCACTTCATGCATGCTTCCGCACTTGTCTTGAAAAAGACTCGGCCCGTAATCTTTGTCGTCCTCTAATCGCTTGTCTAAGTACATTGATGGGAGTAGTCGGTCCCACTGTCTTGATCATTGGCCACTGGCTAACCATCCAGTTTACTACGTAATTAATTAATTAACAGGAAGCTAGGTAAGTTGTCTTAAGTACGTTGATGGAATGAATAGTCGTCCTCTAGTCAATGCCAGACTGGTACTTGGAACACTTGACAACTGCACACACATGTTGGTGCGTGTTCGATGCAGCAGCCAAGGCCTGGCGCTGAGCACCATTAATGTTTTTTTAACGGAAGTTGGTAAAACTGCATCTTTTTAATATTTTTTTTTTTATATTTTGTCTATATCTTATCATCACCAGATGAATGTGTGGTTCTAAGTACTCTTGCCAATTCCTCCATATAAAAGCCTCGGCTGTCCTAAGTATCGAATCATATCGATAATACATACATACATATGTTGCTCTCACTAGCCACTCTTAATAAGTGTAATTAATTTGTTTCACTAGCTTGTACCTACCTAAAAGCCTATAAGAATTACTTAAATAAGTCTGCGGCCAAACCATGATGTATGCATAAGAATTACTTAAATAAGTCTGCGGCCAAACCATGATGTATGCATATTTTTGTTGGGGAAAATTAACTCAATTTCAACCCACTCAATGGTAAGCTATTGTTAAGAATTAAATTCATTCTTTATCATACACAGTAAAAATATTAGCACATCGCATCAACACAAGCATACATAGAGACAACAATCACATACATCCACGCACAACACAATATTTTACATGGTTTACCCAACTCTAAGATTACGTCTATGGAGAGAGAGACTTTACTATTATATATCAAGGAAGAGAATTTACAACCAAATGTCAAAATCCCACTCACTCACTCATCATCTATTTTGAGGTTACATGTATACACTCGGGAATTACGTATACTCTCCACTCTCCTCACAACACTCACCCTTAAACCCCTTACATCTTTTCTCTTTTCTTTCTCTCTCTCAACCTCTCATGCCCATCTTTATTTATAGAGTCTTCAAAACACAATTCCTTGTTGGACAAGTATTCCCCAACTTGCCTATAAGAAGTTACCATATCCGTCTTCAACTCTAAAATAGCAGGTACAACTGTTTCCCCAAATCTTCATCATTTTCCCCAAGTCTTTTGGCTTCCAAAACTGATTAGGAAATTGTTTCCTACAGTTTCCAAAACTCACTGTCCAAGTTGAACAGGTTCAACTTTGGCAGTAGCCAAAAGTTGACACCACACTTGAATCGGTTCAACGCTGTCTGAACCGGTTTAACTTTTGTAGTAGCCAAAGTCCATAGCAAAAATCAGCAACTTTGAGCATCATAATTCTTCACGTAATCAGACTATGTCTTTATGTGCTTCACTATATAGTTCCACCTCAAACAAGGATCTTTTCATAACTCCACTTTAACTGAAGATTTCTCCACCTCAAATAAAGCAATATGGTGAACTTGAGAAACACATTAACATGTTTAGGTTAATTCCAAATTAAAGTAATAAAATTAAGTGTTTAATGATGATAATCGAGAAACGTACGTACCTCCTGTTCCAGCTTGTCAAATGTGTTAAAAAAAAAGCCAATCTACTTTATGGAAATTGGAAAATTGATTGAGTACGAGGGTCAAGAGAAATGGATATGAGTCCATGTCATAGATGAAGGATGATAGATCATTAATTCTGAGCAATACTGGCACTGAAGGCAAATACCATGGATGATGATGATGATGATGATCCTGATCTAGATCTAGCAGCAGTTATTCCTTGACCTTGACCTTGTAGGTGATGAGGATTAATGTTGAGGAGAGGCCTTTGATTCACATGGTAGTAGATGCCACAAATGGCACACGATTGAGTGAAGAATGAAGCTCCATAAACACCCAACTGCCGGGCGATGTTTAGAGCCTATTGTCATGTACTTGGACCTTTCCAAGCTCACGTGCGGCCTTAGACACTTTCAAGCCCCCTTGAAGCGCTAAGTCAGCCTACCCGAGTATGCTAGCTTAGTGAAGACTAAGGTTAGACAAGTGTTTTGCTTACTTGGGTGTGTAGGAAGAGATTAGGCAAGTGAGCAAGAGAGTTTGGGAATGTATGAACACTTGTATTACTTGAGAGGAGATTACAACTTAGGTTGCTTGGTGAGGAGCAAATGAACTCCCACCTCCTATTTATAGGCCTTTGGTCCTTACAAGAACATTCTAAATGTGTATAAATGTGTGGCCTAAAATGAGTGTTTAGAATTCTCCAAAGAACTATCTACACAATTCTAGAACTATATACAATGTTCAAGAGATTTCTATACAACTCTAGACAAGTCTAGAAAAGGCTAGACAACTCCACATTAATCTAGGGAATTCTGGAAAGTTCCATACTTGTGTAGAGAAGTCTAGAAAGCTCCGGTCCATGCATGCTCCATGTCATCGTCTACTGGGCGTCTGTGTGGCGCCTGTGTGGTGTAGCCTCTTGGTTGCGGGGTGTGACATTCTCCCCCACCTAAGCTCACGACGCCCTCGTCGCGTCTTCTTACTTGAACCGCTGGATATGCTCCGCGAACTGCCAAAGTGTATCCTCATGTTCCCAGCTTGCCTCGCTATCTGGCAGGTTCTTCCATTTCACTAAGTACTCTGTATACTTGGGCACACCTCTCCTGCTCGTCACGCGATCCGTAAGGATGCAATCAACTTCCTTGTCAAAGGACGTGACAACGACCGTGGGTGCCCTCTGCGATATGCCCCGAGTAAGGTCTTCCATGTCTTCATGATAAGGCTTGAGCATGCTGACATGGAAGATTGGATGTATTTTCAACTTGGGTGGAAGCTCCACCATGTACGAGACCTTGCCCACCTTCTTGACAATAGGGAATGGACCTCGTACTTCCTTACTAACCCCTTCTGCATGCTTCGGAAAGACTTAAACTGTTGGGGTAGTAGCTTAACCATCACCTAGTCTCCCACTATGTACTCCACCCGCCTTCGCTTGGTGTCGGCCCACTTTTTCATCTTCTTTGCTGCCTTGTCAAGGTACGCCCTAGCCAAGTCGGACTGCTCGTGCCACCTCTTGGCAAATTTGTAAGCCGCCGGACTTTTAACATCGTAAGTCGAAGCAATGGCGTTGGGTGTCATAGGTTGCCGTCCGGTTACAACCTCAAAATGGATTGTGATTGGTAGCCTCACTCCGCTGCAAGTTGTAATAAAACTGTTCCACCCGAAGGAGTTTGGCCCAATCTCACTGGTTGGCACTTACATAGTGCCGCAAGTACAGCTCCAGGAGAGCGTTGATGCACACCGTCTGCCCATCTGATTAGGGGTGGAAACTCGTAGAGAAGTTGAGATCCGTCCCCATCTTCTTGAAGAGCCCCGTCCAAAATCTACCCGTGAAGCGCGGGTCTCTGTCACTGACAATGTTTTGCGGAACTCCCCAAAGCTTGACCACATGGTCAACAAACAATTCTGCTGGCCTCTCTGCCGTGCAATCTGCTGGTGCGGGTATGAATGTGGCATACTTGCTGAACCGATCTACCATCACTATAATGCTCCCGCAACCCTCTAACTTGGGCAAACAAGTAATGAAATCCATAGAGACGTTTTCCCATGGTCTCTCTGGAATAGGCAATGGCTCCAGTAGGCCTGCGGGATGTTGTTGCTCAATCTTGTCTTGTTGGCATACAAGACAAGTCCTCACATATGTCTCCACATCATCGCGCATCCGAGGCCAATAATATGAATCTTCAAGGAGTGCTAGTGTGCGCCGCATACCTAGGTAACCAGCCCATTTGGTGTAGTGGCACTCCCGTATCAACTCTTTTCGCAAGTTACCCTACCTAGGCACAAAGAGTCGGTCCCCTGTAGTGAGAAGTAAATCATCCCTTAGCCAAAAGCGCCGAGTCTTCCCTTCCTTAGCCAGCTGAATAAGGCTTTTGGCTAAAGGGTCATGCTGTAACCCCTCTTTGA